ACTGGAAGAGATGGTCTTCTGTTCTCCAGCGTGGGCATGCATACCGGCCAGTTGACTGTTGCATGTGCATGCACACCAGTAACTAGGAGATTAGCTGGCTGGTGCGTAGGCACACACCAAAAACCGGAAGTTCATTTTCCAGCACGCGCATGCCACCTGGACAGCTGCTTTTTCGGGTTGCAGCCCCGACGAGCACACACGCTTCTGACAAGTAAAGTCCATGAGGAAGCCAGATTCATTTAACAACCGTGTTACTAACAACAACTGCAGTGATTCACTTAAATGTGGCTAGAAAGGTTGTAAAATGGAGCAAAACTCAATAACTGTCTCCCATAGCAGCAGAATTTTTGGGGCTCAGTTGTGGTTGTAAGTTAAGGACCGCCTGTACAATAATTCGCAACATGTCTTTAACAAAACGGTAGCAACAACCAAGTAAAGGACATGAGTTCTCACCAAATTTGGGCTTATGAGCCCTATTTGGCAGAAGGGATAAAAACATTGTGAGAAAATTATTTTTACCTGCTTTTAGCTGCAAAGCTAGTGAAAATAACTGGAATCGTTTAAAAAGTTTGTTTCATCAGATTGAGTCTATGGTTCTGCTTGAGAAGATTTCTGAGAAAATTCACATTGAAAAAAAAAATCCAGAGGAAAAATCATTTTATTGAGATTGGAAGGATTTTATCCATGTTATAAATGACAAAACTAACACCCATTGGGATGAAGGGAAAAAATATATAATAAACAGCCTGATATAAGATGGTTTGATGCAGTAGTCATTGTGTGTAATGTAACAAAAGATAATAATTAAAAAGCTAAAAATCAGTCTGTCTGTGCATAAATAACAATAACCCCATGGACAGCTCCATTGGCAGTAGAATGGCTTTTAGCTACTGCTGCTGACCTCCTTCGCTGACTGTTTTATATAAGTAGCTGGGCACATAATATATATTTATAGCAGTAGATTTAAAAAAATATCCTTTTAAAAACAGCAGCTTATGAACTGAGTGTAGCACAAAAATGTTCAAAACGTATCCCAAGAAGAGAGAAGAGAAACATGCACTTAAGGAATTGCTAAAAGTAGAAATGTTTCAACTATCAGCGTTCTCCCCCTTTCTGCAAATTCTTTGATTTAGCTTTTCCATTATACTCGACTGCTTTGAATCTGGTACTCGGCGCATTTTGATGTGAAAATTTTGCCCTGATACTCAACGTTTGTTTAGTACTCAATGCACAAGCTAGCACTTGTCAATGCCTTGTGACATTATTCCTTATGGTAAAAAATTGTTTGGTACTCATTATTTGGGGTACTGATTGTGCCTCCTGGAACCAATTAACGATGAGTATTGAGGTACCACTGCATTATGTCTATGGAGATTCTCAGTCATCCAGATCATGGTTGTCCCAAAGGAGCTTTTACAAGAGGCAACTGGACTTTTTGGCATTTCTTTGAAGACATTTCACTTCTCATCCAAGAAGCTTCTTCAGCTCTGACTGGATGGGAGGTGGGAGGGAATAGAAGGATTTACCTATCTACGTATAAATCCTTCCATTCCCCTCCATCCAGTCAGAGCTAAAGAAGCTTCTTGAATGAGAAGCAAAACATCTTCAAAGAAAAACTCAAAAAGCCCAATTGCCTCTTGAAAAAGCACCTTTGGGGCTACTCCTGTACTACTTATTCTTATTTATTTATTAAATTTATATGCCGCCTGTGTCACTATCAAGCAACTTCATGGTACATGAAGAATTCTGAAGATGTGAAAACCTCTACACACTTTGTTTATAGGGGTGTGTGAATATTTTTCACCCCAAAAAGCAAAATCTGCCTTATTTTAGCAATATTTATTAACCCCTAAACCTGCTGTCCAGGAATTCCATTCCCAAATTCTAGATACTTCAACTTATTTGGAAGATAACCTGAAGAAGACAAATTGAAAAAAAAACACAACAGTGCAGTCTATTCACACAAGTTGGCACTATCCATATGATTAGGCCAGGGGTCGGCAACCTTAAAGCACTTGAAGAGTCATTTGACCCATTTCCCACAGAAAACACCAGGAGCCACAAAACCCTTCCCGTGCCTATTTCCTGAGCAGCCACAAAACTAGTATATGTAGTTGAATTAAACATTCTGTTGTCTTCTGAAACTTTTCTTTTCTTGGATTTAACTATGGTTGGCCTACTGGGGGTTGAAAAGCTCAATAAATCATGTGGCAGCGGGTGTCGCACATTGGCGGTTGTGATGTATATTTGGAGCAACAGAGAGCCACAGCAGAGGGATGAAAGAGCCACATGATGCTCCAGAGCCGCAGGTTGCTGATCCCTGGATTAGGCCAAAAAGCAGAACCTTCACTCTGAATTGACTTTACTCTCTCTAGCACGACTGGCAACATAAAGCCTTATTATGACCCTGTACAGTATATATCACTGTTTTCTTGAGGTACCTGAAGGAAGTTAGTTAGCACACCTTTCATTACAAAATGCTACCGATCCTTGAAAAGTGAAAGAAAGAAAAAAGATTGTGCCAGTAGGTGAGATTAGAGGCAACCATGATGAAATTTGAGGAAACATATCATTCCTCCTCCCCCCCTCCCCAAAGTTATATTTTCAACACAGAAGCCGGTTCGGATTCTTTAGCACCGCTCAGATATATACAATGGGCAGATTAAAAAAAACAGTGGGAAGAAAAAAACAGTGGAAGACTGTCACCAAAAACAAAGGTGGTAATCTCAGAATTGACCAAACTTTCTCACTCTTAAAAGGCAACTATCGGTTTCTTTACGCAGAATCACCACAATATTTCCAGAAGCCAAGCATTCCCCACCTGGGATCATCTACAGTGTGTGTGTGTGTGTGTCTCCCAACTTGGCAACTTTAAGACTTGTGATCTTCAACTTCTAGAAAACCCTAGCCAGCATGGGCATTCACAAGTCTTAATTCCCAAGTTTGGAAACCCCCGATCGACACAATGTTGATGGAGATACAAGTAGGCCCTTGAGTTACAAGTGTTCGTTCAGCAACTGTTCAAAGTTATGGCGGTACTGAACAAAGGGACTTAGGACCGGTCCTCAAAATTCTGGCCACTGTAGCGCCTTTGTGGTCACTTAATCAAAATTAGGATGCTTGGCAACCAGCTCACCTTAGGACCGGTTGCGCCATCCTGAAGTCATGTGATCACTGTTGCTGACCTTCTCTGCCAGCTGCCACTAGCAAGGTCAATGGGGATGCCAGAGGGAAGTAAACATTGATCAGGTAAGTCAGTGGGGAAGCCAGAGAGAAGTAAAACATTGATCGGGTAAGACAGTGGGGAAGCCAGAGGGAAGTAAAACATTGATCAGGTAAATTTCCCACCCAGCCTTCCTTTGCTGACATTGTGTCTTTCTTCCCTCTTTGCTTGCTCGCACCTACCAGTATCCTCCTTCCCTGAGCTTTCTTGCACTTGCACACGTTCCTCACGCTCACTTTTCCCACCCTCCCTAAGTTCATGCCACACCGCAACCTCCCAACTCACACACAATGCTCTCCTGCTCCTCATCTGGGACTCCCTCCATTTCCCATTTAATGACCTGCATACTTTGGGATTGTGATAAGATGGCAATCCAGGACTGCCAGCAATAGAACATTACACTCTGCAACTGCATTGTGACAGCAATCTTGGACCCAATTGTTGTCGTACCTCAAGGACTACCTGAAGATCAATCGCTTTTCTCCTGTAAAAGAAGGAGGGAAGGACGGACAGAAGGAAGGAAGGAAGGACGGACGGACAATAGCAATAGCACTTATATACCGCTTCACAGTGCTTCACAGCTCTCTTTAAGCGGTTTAGAGTCAGCCTCTTGCCCCCAACAATCTGGGTCATCATTTTACCCACCTCAGAAGGATGGAAGACTGAGTCAACCTTGAGCCTGGTGAGATTTGAACTGCCAAATTCCCGGCAGCCGGCAGGCAGCAGCAGGAACCTGCAGGACTGCACTTTAGCCACTGTGCCACCATGGCTCATAATGCAAATTCTGAGGGGAGAAGGAAGGAAGGGAGGAACAAAGAAAGGAAGGGAGAGAGGGAGGAAAGGAAGAAGGAAGGAAGAGAGAGAGAGAGAGAAAGAAAAAAAGAAAGGGAAAGATTTAGGAGGAAGGAATCTACCAGCAGAGGCAGAAATTAATTTAACTAAAGAGACTTGGTAGATCAGGCAGCCAGAGAGATGACCTGAGGTCAGATTCCTATGAATAACAAGGAAAAGATGGCTTCAGACACTCTAACAGCCAGAGTTAGCAGCATTGTTTTCTTCATAAAGCAGCTTATGTTTACTATCAGAAAAATCCCAGATTGGGCCACCTCCGTATGCTAACTTTCCCCTCCCTTGAGAGCTGCTGAGGCCAAGCATGCCATTAGGGGGGATTTTAGAGGTTATATTTAATGCTCAGCTTACTGGTTCTTGGTGAGCTGCTCATTCCTGAACAGATCCAAAGATGATCAGTGAATAAAACCATCGACTCAAGTAGTTTAACCAGCAGTACCCCCTGCTCTAAACCCCGCCAGCTGCCAAAGAAGCTCCACCGTTTTCCAAATGTCAACTCAAAACATTCAAGGATTGCTTGGAAGCACAGCAAAAACCCACGGTCTAATCCCTTCAGCAAGGGATGCCTTGTTTCACTCGGGGAAAAGGACACGCAAGCCGCTGAAACCGTACAAGGCAGCCAAAAAATGACGAAGAGGACAGATGGGGGGAGGAAATGGGGAGAAAGGAGAAGGAAGAGACGGAGAGAGAGAACAAATGGAGATGCAGAAGCAATGGAGGAGGAAAAGGAAGAAACGGAGAAAGAGAACGGAGAAGTAGAAGCAATGGATGGAAGAGGAGAAAGATGAAACAGAAAGAGAAGAAATGGAGAATTGGAAACAATGGATGGAAAAGGAGGAGGAAGAAATGGAGAAAGAGAAGAAATGGAGAAGTGGAAACAATGGATGGAAAAGGAGGACAAAATGGAGAAGAGAAAGGAGGAAGAAGTGCAGAGAGGGAAGGAGAAGGGGGGAAAAGGGAGAAGCAGAAGAAGGAAGAAATGGAGAAGGAGGACAGAATTGTGCTTAAGGAGCAAAGAGATTCACATTGGTAGGTTCAGCAAGGTAGTGGTTTCACTGTGATGCTTACCTGATCTCTAAAGAACAGAAGAAAATAAAGTGGGTTGCAAGGCTGCACAAAATGAGGTTTTTCTTTAAGCTACAAGGATCTCTGCCTTTGTCCCCCAGGCAGTATTATGCTACTTAAGGCATCCCAAAAAACCATTCAGTTTGATACTGCCGATGACCATATCCCAATTTCCTTGTCCCTGCTACCTTGACATTTCCCCAAATCAGAGTTTCCCATCTTCCAACGACCTCCTCCGCTAGAGGAGACGAAGATGGCAGCTCCAAATCTCTTCATTAAATGCGTCCCGTCCGCCTCCCCAACAAGAGTCAACAGAAGGCCCACTATGTGCTACATCCTTGTGGTGGGAGGCTGACAACGCCCGTCCAACGTCCCACCGAAAGCCAGTGCTGAGAACTTTGTTCAAGGAAGGCAAAGGAAAGAGCAGAGAGAACGGTGGCTCACCACCACAAGGAGACCACCGGTCCAAATGTGAGCCCTCTTGTTAGGTTTAGGAGCCAGGAGCTCCGCGGACATGGCTTCCCGAGTTGAGCTGCCTGTTTCCATGATCTCCCCCCTGCCCCCCACTTGCTGATGAAATCCGATGGCGGTCCAGAAAGCCAGGACGATGGGAAGAATCCCAAGAGGAGACCCCGTGGGTCAGTAGAAATGTTTCCGGCTCTGTTCTTGCCACTTGTTGTAAACAATCACGCCGACGACAATGGCGAAGACGATGGCCACCAGCGAAAAGAAGACGATCAAGAAGAGAGCAAGGCCACTCATGGGCTCCATCGGCATCACCACTACAAAGGACAAATGCAGAGGTTGAGCTCAGCTATAAGAACAAGTCAGTGGTGGGTTTCCATTTTTACTACCGGTTCACTCATGCGCGTAATGCTTCTGCACATGCAGAGAAGCGTCCGTGCAGGTGGGCGGAGCCTCCTGCCACCGCTACTACTGGTGCGCCTGATCCGGTCCGAACCAGGAGCAACCCACCTCTGGAACACATTGAATAGTGTAGTGTAGTGTATAGTACTGTAGTGTAGTATAGTATAGTATAGTATATATTATAGTAGAGTATATAGTAGAGTATATAGTATAGTACATAGTAGAGTATATATTATAGTAGAGTATATAGTATATAGTATAGTACATAGTAGAGTATATATTAGAGTATAAAGTAGTGAGTATAGTATAGTATAGTATAATAGAGTATATAGTAGAGCAGAGTATATAGTATAGTATACAGTGTAGAGTAGTAGAGTATATAGTAGAGTATATAGTATAGTATAATAGAATAGAAGAATAGATTATATAGTAGAGCAGAGTATATAGTATAGTATATAGTGTACAGTAGTAGAGTAGATAGTATAGAGTATAGTATAGTATAGTATAGTATAGTATAGTATAGTATAGTATAGTATAGTATAGTATAGTATAGTATAGTATANAGTATAGTATAGTATAGTATAGTATAGTATAGTATAGTATAGTATAGTATAGTATAGTATAGTATAGTATAGTATACGAACTTCCAATTGGCCCATTGGGCGTGTTTTTCACCCTCCCCAGCCTCCAGAGGCTTTCCTCATACTTACTCCCAGGGAGTTTCATGTTGTCCACCACAGGAAGGAAGACTTCTTTGTCACGTTTCTCTTCTTCCATCGTCCGGTCAACTGTCAGCTGGTATGTCTTTAGAGAGATGATGTCATGATTGTCTGAGTCCAAAGACGAAATGGGATATAATGAGGAGGGGGTTCCACAAGGAGCCATTCCCCAAATTTCTTTCCCCAGTTAACCAGCTGTTGAATTTTGCTCCAGCTTGCTTTCGAGATTGCTTTGAAAAGTTTTGAATTTAAAAGTTTAAATGTTTAGGCTGTGTTCGTACAATTCACTCAGTGGCTGAAGGCTGGACTTGAAACTGTGGTCTTAAATCCCCCCACCCTCCCTAGAATTCAGCATCCTAACCATTAAGTTGTGCTGGGTTTTAAAATCATAGGTCTTGGTTTAGCACAGGAGTCAACAACTTTGGCAATTTTAAGACTTGTGGACTTCACCTCCCAGAGTTCCTCAGCCAGCTTAAAGTTGCCAGCTTAAAGTTGCCAAGGTTGGCAACTTTGCTGGCTGAGGAACTCTGGGAGTTGAGGTCCACAAGTCTTAAAGCCACTCAATTATGGCTGTAAGTCGAAGACCACCTGGGGAAGAAAAATCAATTTTCATAGCACTCTTCCCATTTTTCATATCTTCCAAAAATGGAAAAAATATTGTGGGGGTAAGATACCCCTAACAACCCTTGGGGAGGGGGGTGTTCTGTTAAGATACAGCCTGTTGTGCCTTAAAATGGCTTCTATGTACTGCCGTAAAATGGCTTCTGCTGTACAGCACAATGGAGTTGCCATGGTAACAGCTTCACAGTACTCCACAAGGGGGCTCCCTCTGGTAAAGGGGATAATCCAACATTAGAAATTACATTTGGTCCGGACATTCCCACCTTATAAATACCCAGGCAATGCCGGGTTATTGGCTAGTTTCAAATAATATAGTCGAATGTTCTTGATTTCAACTACCATGAGTCTCCAAGTAGTAGTTCTTGACTTATGACTATCACTAGTTTTTAAGGATCTTCTCCCAAAGTAAAAAAAAAAAAAAAAAAGTAGGAAAAACTCTTCCAGCAATGCTAGCTAGGCTTTTGAAGAATACCTGACAAGTCTCCTGTGGCGGAAGAGATTCCGAAAAAGTATCCACGGGGTAAGTGGACTCCGGGAATGTCAATGCAATCTTTCCATTCATGCTTTCCATCAATGTCGAGCAGGACCTCAAGTCAAAACAAGAAAGGGCTCATTCTAGCTTCATCCTCGGTTCAGGAGCCTCGGTGGCGCAGTAGTTAAGAGTGCAGTACTGCAGGCTACTTCTGCTGACTGCAATTTGGCAGTTTGATCCTGACTGGCTCAAGGTTGACTCAGCCTTCCATCCTTCCGAAGTGGGTAAAATGAGAACCCAAATTGTTGGGGACAAGAAGCTAACTCTGTAAACCGCTTAGAAAGGGCTATAAAGCACTATGAAGTGGTATCTAACTCTAAGTACTATTGCTATCTTCCTTCCTTCTAACCACTAGGGGGGAAGGAGGGAAGGAAGGAAGGAAGGAAGATAGCAATAGCACTTACTTATATACCGCTTCACAATACTTTTACAGCCCTCTCTAAGTGGTTTACAGCCAGTCAGCACATTGCCCCAACAACCTGGGTCCTCATTTTACCGACCTCAAAAAGGAGGGAAGGCTGAGTCAACCTTGAGCCGGTCAAGATTGAACCCCTGGCTGTTGGCAGAGTTATCCTGAAATACTGCATTCAAATGGATAGGTTGGAATAGATGATAGGCAGGTAGGTAGGTGGGTGGATGGATGGGCATGGAGAGAAATAGTGAGAAATTGAGAAGAG